CGACTTGTCCGATACTTTAGGAGCAAGTCCCGAGACTTCTAAAGGTAGCGATAACCCGGGTTTCTAAGGCGATTACTATATAGAGTTAGGGGTAGACGGGCGGCGTATTAACGGTATCGATTCTAAGAAAGCTAGTAGAGAGGACAACGATGCTTATATTAGTAATCGCATCGCTAAGGATAGGAGCCGTACGCGGCAAGTTAATATAGACACAACGAGAGGACGTAGCTACCCTAATACGGTAACCTGTATTTAGAGCATAGCTTAAAAGTGCGAATGCTATCCTACGATAATATTCTACGAAGCTACGCCTATATTAATAAGTAGACACTGTAATTATTGATACCTAAGTCCTTCTTATACTCCTATATGCTTATTCGTAAAGAGACTATTAGATCTTTACTACGTATACGTAAGAGAGCTGTTTGAATTTTCGAGATGCTAACGCAACCTTCGAGACTCGAGTACGTTAGTATCGAACTTAATATACTTCTATTACTTCTACGTAGCTTCTTTTAATAGTTAGAGAAGCCTAAGCAGGATCTCTCTAGTGCCTATAGAGCGTCCCGAGACAACTCTCCGTAATGCTTACTCTTGTCCTTCCTCCTATACCGGCTCTTTATCCTATACCTGCTCTTTACTCTACGCTTACTCTTTACCCTATGCTTGCTCTTCGCCCTATACTTAGTCGTAATCCTAGGCTTAATTATTATCGTCCTTCTCGCTATTATTGCATACTAGAAAGCGCTCGCCTAGGGAATAGGAGCGTAGTATAACGGCTACGGTCTAGGGCAGACTCTTATATAGCTAGCGTAGTTCGACTACGGCTTTATGCACTTGCTATACTATGTCCCGATCCTCCTCCCGTAGGCTATTAAGAAGGTTCTTATTATTCTTTCGCGTGCTTGCAAGCGCTTCTAAAATCTGCAATTTGTTAACGTTAGCATCTACGAGGATGTTACTTTTAATCCCTACTAGCTAACGATTGCCGGGGCTCGGCGTATCTAGCTTCCCGTCGTTACTAATATTCTACGTTACTTTAGCTTGCGCGTCCTTCTATAGACCTGCTCTATCGCGCGTGCTAGCATGCTTCTCTAGCTTCTCCTTCTCGTCGATAAGTTCTTCTAACTAAGTCTCTAGCTACTTAATCCGCTTAGCGTCCTCTCTATTCTACTTCGATAGCTCGGTAATATTGTGTTACTAGTCTACGACGCGCTTCTCGAGCCCGGTAATAGTCTTATCCCGACCGGCAACTAGCTTATAGAGCTTCTCCTCTACTGCTTAGGAATTCCGTAGAGCGTAAGTTACCGAGGCGTATTCGTTACTATCGAGGGAGAGGCTTATAGTATATAGCATATACGACGTTATATAGAGAAGAGGTAGGAGTAGGCTACGAAACTAATAAGAACTACCTAATAGCGGCACCTTGTATATTACTAATATCTACCGCTATAGTACTCTACTAAATACTATCTTAGAACAAATAAACACTCTTACCTACAAACTACTAAACTTATATTATCCTAAAGCGTCGTCTAGTATATCGTCCTACTTATCGTCCTTTGCCTTCTTACGTCGTTCGTCCTAAGAAGATGCCTAGCCGCCTAAGAAGCGTATACGGGTCGCTTTCGTCGCTTTCGATCTCGGACTACCCCTCGCCTGCTATATAATATTAGCGTTCGCCGTTAGTATAGCTATTTAAACGATCGTACCCTAGTCTTTATACGCCTCGTAGCCGTAGGTAGCGGAGAGAAAGAGACTCGCTAACGTCCTTACTGTCTTAGGAAAGCAGCTTTCGTCTCTATAGCTTAAGATTGCGCGAAATAGTTAGCGACTATACTTTATATACCGTCGAGTCTCTTAATTGTTTGCTATCGCACGAGTAGACTCTACTCGACTATTTCGCGTATACTAGCTAACTCGGTCTAGCTTGCGGAGGCGAGGTAATTAAACGACTAATTAATAGCCTAATTTGTCGCTAAGATATACTGTTATCCGACTTTTCGGACTATAGCCTCTAAATCGTTAAACCTCGAGATCTAGCGACGACTATACCGGGCAAGCTTACGGCGTAAAGCGCCGAGCTCTACGAGAATGTCCTAGCTAACTTGATCGGAACGCTAATTGCTATACTAGATGCCTTAGCTCTTATTAATAGCAGCCGCGAACCGCCTAGTACTGCTATCGGAAGCGTAAGGTAATGCTAGAGTAACCTCATTTCTACCCGCCTAAACGACTCTAACCTAACGCGCCGATTTACCGACAGGAGCGATAGCGGAAGCAGAGGCAGGTCCTTAGGCTACGCTTATCTAACCGTAGTACGGTCTATAGGGCTACTAATAGGTAGGACAATTCGTATAGGCCTAAGCTAGGAAGCTGTTAATAACATATTAGTAGTTAGTAGGTACCGGCTGCGAGTTTAGATAGCTTATTGCTAGTTGTTAATACAGCAAGATTCCGGCCGCTAGTAATAGCTAGTAACTTGTTAGGTATAATGCTTACGCGTATAGCGAAGTGTTATATCCTAGCGCGATGAAGATCTAATTGTTGCTTAGACCCGTAGCTAGAGTAGTGTAATATTGTATTATACTAGTCGCTAACTAGTCCTAAATAGCGGCATAGTACGGATTAGTCGCCATTTCGTATCGGATCGAATTAGCTAGCTAGGCGACTTTCGAGACCTAATAGGAGTAGTTAAGATAAATACCGACCTTCCTAGAGGTAGTACCTCCTTTCTATCGCCCTTACGATGTCCGTAGTAGGAGCGTCGTATTAGGAGACATACAGAACGCCCCTATCTTCGCCTATAGGCATTTATTCTAGATAATAAACATACGACTCGCGTACTTCATTAGCCGAGTTGCTATAGCACGAAGATTCGTATAGAACATTCTATACCTAGACCTTCGCTGCGGCGTAGCAACTATATTCCCGGTGTTAGGCTGAAACTATAAGTCTCGATCGTTAAAATTGAGACTACTACGGAGTTTGTTATTAGACAAATCTGCTATATTAGCGCAGCTTTAGCAAGTCTCTTTATCGGATTGCTTCTATCTAAGAGCATTTTCGGCGAGACACGCTTCTACAACTTAGAACGGATCGCTTAAACTACTAATATATACGAAATCGGATTTTTATAAGATTGCTTAACTAACAATTACTATTACATCCGATAGAATAGTAACCTAGACTTCCTCGTTCTTATTTACGCCTCTAATTACTTCTATATATCTTGTTATCCTCTATACTATATCTTACTATCGTAATAGCTAAATACCTATAGTAGGGATATAACTACTACGCCTATATAAATAAGACCTAAGTCTGCGACTACCTCCGCGCACTTAGCATTACCTATAACGAGACTTAGATAGTCTCGACACTTATCGCATTGCTAGAGAAATACGCTATAGACCTTCGCGAGCGCAACTGCGATAATAAGAAAGATTATATAGATTCTACCTTCTATCTATCCTCCTAAAAGAGGGCAGAGTTGCGCTAGACGCTTAGCTAATTTAGTATCGGTTATAGAGAAAGACCTAGCAAGGACACTCTCGTAAGTGTATTCCTTCGGTACTTAGATAAGATCCGCACCCTTAACCGGAACTTATAGGTAAGCTTATATCTTGCAATATACGCTTCTACTTCCGTACTAACTTAGCGTATAACAGGCAAGCGAAGATACTATTATAGTAGATCTAGCAACTATACTCGCAACGGCCGGTCTTAGTAGCTAGACAACGACTCCGGTATATCCTACTCTAAATTAGGCACCTACCGGGGCTTAGAATTATAGCGACAAGTATCGCCTTAACCCGCCGCATACTCCCTCGCCTCTACAGCCGGCTATTGCCTAGGACGCTTATACTCAATCTATCTAGACCGCCCTAGTAGCCGGTCTCTGTACCCTGCTTAGCTAGAGTACGAACAATACGCATTACTATTAGCCGCAATTAACGACTTAGTACACTACGTAGCAGCTATAGCTACCTACCTAGATGCATTATCTACCGCTAGCTGCCTAGATGCATTATCTATAACTAGCTACCTAGATGCCTTAACTATAGCCTAATACTACCGTGTCCCTATAGCTAGCGGTCTAAATGCTATATATGCATCCTACTCCCGTACTATAGATTACATTTGCTCTTCTATAACAGATAGTATATTACCTACAGAGCGGCATACTACTAGCCCCGCAATAAAACTACGCCGCCGCGACTAATCCGACGTCTATCTACGTCCTAGGTTAGTTGCTATAGATACCTATACTAGCTCCGAAGACCTACGTAGTAACACCGACTCTAGCAATATACTAGTCGTCGTAGGCAAATATACCCGCTCCTGCTAGTTAACACCTAATATAGACACGAAGCAGGGTATCTCCTCTAGACCTTTATAATACGATCCTTAGTATAGGCCGGAATACCTAATAGTCTTTATTACTACTAGAGTTAACTAAGATAACCCCTAGCTGCCTTATAGACACGAGGCTATGTTTCTACCTTGCGCGCCGGCTTTATAATTAGTTCGCTACATATTGCACTTATAATTTTTGTTTAGGCTATATACTTACAAGATACGGTAGTGCTAGAGCTTTTGCGCTACCTAGTGTATAAACACTTATTATCTACGCCGACCGATGTCGCTCCTTTAGGGATTAGGTAGGCTGTTAGGCATAGTTTCTCCTAGGACATACTTATTATATATAGTATAGAATAGCTTAACTTACTCGCTCTATTTTGTTAAAGTTAGTACTATCTATTACTTAAATGCATCCTCTAGTCTATTGCGGGGTTAGTAGAAGTATACAATAGGAAAGTGGCTATCTAGACTACGTAACGTATCCTTCCTAATTTTCCCTTCCTCGACTTCGCTAGTATAGTCCTATAGGAGCGCTAAGTGCTCGGCTGTACGGCCCCTACTAAAAAGTAAAGCATATATAATTAGGCAAAAAATCACAAAAATTCTAAATTGAGGGCTTCTACCTACTACTTTAGGGTCGGCTAGCTCAATGGTAGAGTGCTTGACTACGAATTGTTGTGTTATCAAGAGGTTGCAGGTTCGAGCCCTGCGTCGATCATTTTTGCAATCTTTTTTTTCAAATTTTTGCTGCCAATGCCAAGAGCATCGATGAAATGATCTTTTTGCACGAAGGATTTCACGTTCTCAGCCTCTCAGGAAATTCAACACTGCATTCTATCAAGCATGGACCACACACTGGTATCAATGAACGTCACGACCAATTTTGAATGTTGCACGAAACTCTCCCAGGATCCTCAACCAAGGGCCATTCTTTCTTCCACCGCCGGTCTGCACACTATCTATCCATCTTCCGAATGACCGGCCACGAGGACCGCGGAGCATACCAATATTGAATAATCAAGAAGCATCGGATTGCACCTAAATTCTTCCAAGGCAATGGAAGCTTTCACAGATATGAAAGCCTCTATTGCTCGAGGAGAGCGGTCGACTCCAATCAGCTTCCGGCTGGCCATCCCTTGGCGATCCCTGGGAGGCTTTATTGACGTCCTCAAGTCCTTTCGAGTTTCGACCATCGATATCTCATCTTGTTCATTCCACAACGCAAGGAGGGGCTATCCAATGCTTTCAGCGTCAAGGCCCTCTCATAGTCTCCGCATACAAGAAATCAATCCATGACAGCTTGATGGGCGAGTGTCGTTAGATCGCCAACGCATCAAGCACAATATCCTGTCGTCCCCTGTGTCCAGACCAGGTAGGTACAGCCAATCTGTAATCCAAGACGTACCGGTACCTTCTATGCCGTCGAAGCTTCGCGTTGCAACTTGCAAAGTCGCTCATCATCAGTACCCTCCCTCTATAAAGAGTGCATCGAAGTCTTGTGACAGCTTGCGGAGAAGCTCGAGCCGAAAGTTCCTAGCTTTCAAGGTTTGCAACGGGTAGGTCCCTGCAAAGCCTACACAATCACATCAACTTCCCTCCTCGGATCATCTCTACTGCTGCTGACTGCAGATGCCCACCTATCTTTCCTGTTGTTGATGAACCGCGAGACGCTAGAGTTGACGCAATAACGCGATCATCCACGTAGCGGAATTGTTCGGAAGCCTGTAACATAAGGGACCGAAATCGGTACAAGCTCACTTGGCACAGTCTTTCTTGATCGGACTATCACGACTTCATTATTCTCCAATGTGGTAGGAGTGATAAGATGGGCGCACGCGTCCTTGGACCTGCAATCGTTTCCAAGATAGCACCGAGACTACCGCCATCATCATGGCAGTCGGAGGGTACGCCGATTCAGCTACAGTGGTTGCGGTTTGCGTCACGATGAGCACAATCGCCGCCGCGGCTGTAGCTATGCGTATCTATGCCAGGTTTGCAATCGCAAAGAATGCTGGATGGGACGATGGCTTCATCGTCTTCTCTTCCGCCAATTCATGGGTGCTCACCAGCACCGCCATCTGGCTAGTCAAGGCGTACGAAATGCTGAAGTGTACTTCTGAATGATAGCTCACTGATTATGATGGTACACACAGCGGAATGGGAAAGCACGAAGCTGACCTGAGTTACTCCGAAGCTGAAGAGAATCTCAAGGCCGTTAGTATCATGACCATCAGAGAAATGCTGGATCGGAATGACTGACGAGAAACAGTTGTGGACTTCCATCATCATTTACAACCTCGGTCTCACCTGCACCAAAATGTCAATCCTCCTCCAATACCAACGAATCTTCCCTCAAAGAGGCTTTCGAATTGCAAACTGGACGATGATGCTTGAACTCAATGGTCCGACTACGGCAAATCGGTAAGA